CGGGGGCCTGTCGCCGATCTATCGACGATGTATCGCCGATTCCAGGTCGATGTATCCCCCCCTGCGCCTATCTCCCCTTATCGTTGCCCCATCACTCGCGCGACTCCAATAGAAAGCGTTTTAGGGGTTTTCTGGCCACGAGGTCGTCGGTTCACTTTCGGCAAAGGGGACTAACGGGTCGGCCGGCCGCGCCGTCGTCAGAATTCCCAGCCCCTCCTCTTCGCTGCAATATCCCCGCAGTTCCCCAGGTGGCGGTCGTCAGTTTTTTGTGACCCTCTCTTAGTGGTGGGGGAGGTGTTTCCGTCAGTTTTGCGACCCCCCCTCTTCATTTTTTCCTGGTGAGTCCACGTCGTCGGTTCTGACGGTTCTTGGGTTTGATATTAATGATTCCCCCGTGGTGTTGCCCCTCAGTCTTGGGGCCCTGTACCGTCAACCCGTAGAATACAGTCCACCCTTGCAGGAAGGGTGGGCAATCTTCCCAAGGGTACCTTTGCATCCTTGCCCCCTTCGGCTCATCCTCAGCGACTTTCGCTGGTCGGCCTCGTTCGAAAGACGTTCGCGTGGGCCTCCAAGGCCCTTGCATCCTTATCGCGCATTCTTAATTATGGTACGGGCTGGTAAGGATGCCAGGGCCTTGGAAGGCCATGTCGACACTCTGCGGGCGGGACGCGGCCAGCGAAAGCGGCCGAGAATGGGCCGAAGGGGGAAGGATGCAAGGGTAACCCCAGGGTCCGTTTTTCCGTCTTGAGTCGTTGTGGGACGGTCCCAGTGCGCCCGGGAAGTGACCCCAGAGGCCGGAAATGGCGGAAAATTTCCCGTTGCGAGTTTTTCCGGATTCGAGGAAATTTGGGATCTCAGGGCAGAGTCTCTCCCCTTGCGTTTCAGCACGGAGTTGGCTCTAAGATCACTAGCGCGACTCCAATAGAAAGCGACTTAGGGGTTTTCTTGCCGCGCCGTCGTCGGTTCATTTTCGGCAAAGGGGACTAGCGGGTCGGGCGGCCGCGCCGTCGTCAGTATTCCCACCCCCCCCTCTTCGCTGCAATATCCCCGCAGTTCCCCAGGTGGCGGTCGTCAGTTTTTTGTGACCCTCTTTTAGTGGTGAGGGAGGTGTTTCCGTCAGTGTTGCGACCCCCCCTTCATTTTTTCCTGGTGAGTCCACGTCGTCGGTTCTGACGGTTCTTGGGTTTGATATTAACGATTCCCCCGTGATGCTCTGAGGCCAATGGAGTCATTCGAGACATCGTGGTTTCAGTCGGGGGGCCGAGAGCTGGACGGGGCGGCCACTCATTTCGCGTCGACGGCGTCGAACGCCAATGCTGCGCGATGCGCAGGCGAGGATAAGAACGCACTACAGTCAAAACTCATAGTAAGAACGCACGGATGTCCTTGGGGTACCCCCGCGTCCTTGTCTCTGCGGCCCGTCCCTCGCGGTCTTCACTGGCCAGCTCTTCTGGGTGTCGGTAGTCCGCCGCCCAGAAGGTGCCAACTTCAGCGTCCAAGGCCCGTGCGTCCTCATCGCCCGTCCTTGCTATAGATTTCGACTGTGGCAGCGCACGCTGGCACAGACGAGGGGCCCTCCCAGACATCCAGCTGCTGCAATTGTTTCGATGCGTGGGCTCCTGAGGTACAAACCACTTCACCAGGGCCGGTGTTTCGTCCCGAGCCGTTGTTTGACGTTCCCCAGGCCCTGCGAGGGTCCTGGGAGGCCGAAAACTGTCGAAATCCCGCCGCTCCAATTTTTTGGGAGCGTCGGAACTCTGGCTTTGTCGTCCCCCCCCCTCCTCCTCCTCCTCCTCCTCCTCCTCCTCCTCCTCCTCCTCCTCCTCCTCCTCCTTCTCATCCTCCTTCTCCTCCTCCTCCTCCTCCTCCTCCTCCTCCTGGTTCTCCTCCTCCTCCTCCTCATCCTCATCCTCCTCCTTCCCCTCTCCTCCTCCCTCTCCTCCTCCTCCTCCTCTTCCTCCTCCTCCTCCTCCTCCTCCTCCTCCTCCTCCTCCCCTCCTGCTGCTCCTCCTCCTCCTCCTCTTCTCCTCCTCCTCCTCCTCCTCCTCCTCCTGCTCCTGCTCCTGCTCCTGCTCCTCCTCCTCATCCTCCTCCTCCTCCTCCTCGTCCTCCTCCTCCTCCTCCTCCTCGTCCTTCCTCCCCCTTGTCGTCCCCCCCCACAGGTTCGGGGGCACCTCGCGGAGCTTCGCGGCCGCGCAGCACGGCTTCGAGGAGGCGCGGCGGCTGGCCGTGGCGTGGCAGCAGCTGCAGGCCCGCCTGGCCCTGCCCGCGCCGGGAGGCGGGGCTGGCTGGGCGGCGGCGCCCATCGCCGATGGCCCTGGCAGCCAGCCCGGCGCGGAGTCCGAGGAGGAGGAGGAGGACCACACGCCGCCCCTCTTTTGGACGCTGCACGGACATGGATCAGACGATCGTTGCGTCTTGTGGCCATGAAAACGTGCAGAGGCCGACTTGGAGTCGAGGAGTCCGAGAAGGAGGAGGAGGAGGAGGAAGAGGACGAGGAGGAGTCCGAGGAGGAGGAGGAGGAGGAGGAGTCCGAGGAGGAGGAGGAGGAGGAGGAGGAGGACCACACTCCGCCCCACTCGGTCTCTCCTTCCCACACTCCGCCTGGCTGGCGCTGGCTCTGCGCCCCCCGGGGCCCTAATTCTTAGTTTATTTTTCTTTCTGGCCCACTTGGGGACCTGCTGCGCCAGCCAGGCGTAACGTGCTCTTACCGCAGCGCTAGGTGGGTTTATTTTTTGTTGCACTCATGCACGCTCCAGGCTGCCGCCTCTACATCACCTCGACGGGAATTTCTTTCAATCTGCCTTCGCCAATAGCGCAGCAGGGCGGAGTAGTTCGGAGTACCGGGACTCCAACTACTCCGCGTGCGGGCGCATCTTGCTCGATACTTTATGGGGTGTGGCGCGGAGTGGTTTCCGATCTGGTTTGGGGGTCGCAGAGTTATTAGCATCAGCATCAGGCGGATCGGAAATTACTCCGCCGAATGACGCCATCATCATGATGTTAGGAATCTAGAAAGAGCACGTTCTACCGCTACTGGCGGAAAGAGGGGGCGGGGAGGTCACTACCGGTTCGAATTCCCCCCCTCCCCCCCCATCATGAAAAGGGGGGGGGTCACTTCTGGTTCGAATTCCCCCCCCTCCCCCTCGCCGCCGGCAAACGATTCTCGCTCCTCGGAACAGCGGGACAGTGGTGGAGACAGTGGGACAGTGGTGGGGGCAGTGGGACAGTGGTGGGGACGGTGGTGGTGGGGACAGTGGTGTGGGGACAGTGGGACAGTGGCGGGGACAGTGGGACAGAGGTGGGGACGGTGGTGGTGGGGACAGTGGTGAGGGGACAGCGGGACAGTGGTGGGGACAGTGGGGCAGTGGTGGAGACGGTAGTGGTGGGGACAGTGGTGAGGGCGGCGGTGAGGACGGAGGTGGGACAGGGGTACAGTGGGGACAGTGGTGGGGACAGTGGTGGAAACAGTGGGACAGCTCAGTGGGACAGCGGCGGGGACAGTGGGACAGTGGTGGGAACAGTGGGGACAATGGGGGTGGTGGGGACCGTGGGCAAAGTGGGGAGAGTGGGACCGTGGTGGGAACAGTGGTGGGGACAGTGGGGACAGTGCGACAGTGGTGGGGGCACTGGTGGGGACAGTGGAGACGGTGGTGGGAGAAGTGGTGACAGTGGTGGTGTGGACGGTGGTGCTGGGACGTTGGTGGGGATTCGGGAGTCGTTTGCCGGCAGTGACGGGGGGGCTCGAACCGGTAGTGACCCCCCCCGCCGGTTTTTTTTTCGGGGGGGGGGAGGGGGGGGGGGCTCGAATTGGTAGTGACCTCCCCCCCGCCAGTTTTCAAGGGGGGGGGGTTCGAACCAGTGGTGACTGACCCCCCCCCGTTTTCCGTTGTCCCCGTCCCCGAGGAGCGGGAATCTGTTGCCGGCGGCGAGGGGGGGGGGGGGGGGGGGACCCCCCCCGGTTGTCTGGAGGAGGGGGTGGGGGGGTTTCGAACCGGTAATGACCCCCCCCCCAGTTTTCCGAGAACGAGAGAACCGGAGGGGTGGGGGGGGGGGAGGGGTCAAGTTAGCCAGCTCGAACGAGCCAGAGAGCTCCGCCCACTCCCACCCGCCACCCCACAACATAAGAAACAAGTGCGTCGCGTACGACGCCTGTCGCTCATCTTATATCGTGGGCGGCTAGACGTTCGGACACGACAACGGGCGCGCTGGCGGCGAACCGCGCTTGAGGCATTATGATTTGCCGCCCGCCCAGCTTCTCAACCCGACGGGTCGCAGCGTCGACGACAAGAAAGTCCATGTTGACGAGCAGGCGTCCCCGCGCGATGCGCGCCGCGTCCCAATCACGCCACGCGATTCGCAGCGCCGACGAGGAGAAAATACAGATTGGCAAGAAAAACGTCGACGTTGCGGTGTTTTTGACAGGTAGGACGGGGGGTCCCGCGTAGGGTTGGCCAGGCGTCCGCGCGCGATGTGCGCCGCGTCCCATTCTTGCTTCACTTTTCGCAGCGTCGACGACAAGAAAGTTCATGTCGACGAGAAACGTTGACTTTGTATCGTTATGTGATGGGTAGGACGCGACCACCCGTTTGGGGTTACCCAAGCGATGTTCACTCCGTCCCATTCTTGCTACACTTTTCGCAACTCGACGACATGCTGGCGAGAAACAAGTTGAGTTTGTATCGTTTTTGAAAGTTAGGACGGCGGGGCTGCTATCGGCTGGCCAGGTGGGGACGTAGGGGGTTTAATCATAGGAAGTAACGATTGGGGGGGGGCGGTTTTTCCGGGGGATCACGGTGGAGCGCGGCGTCACGATTGCCGTGTACTTGGTCCACCGTCAAAAAAGGAGGACCATTGCCTCCCCTCTCTTTCTCCTCATCCTGCTGCTTTTCCTCGTGTTAAGATGTTCCAACCGGCTTCACCATCGATCCTCAGAAAGCACGTCGAGCACCAAGAAAGCATCGAGATTGGAGGGTTTCCACATGTCGGGCCCTGGGAACCGAGACTCGTTCGACACTTCTCCAGCGCGTCGGGCCGACAATGTTTCGACACTTCTCTGGGTGCTCGAAGCTATTTCAGAAATGTGTTTCTTGAGTACGACGGGAAAAAAGTAATGGAGGAGGAGGAGGAGGAGGAGCGGGAAGAGGAGGAGGAGGAGGAGGAGGAGGAGGAGGAGGAGAAGGAGCGAGGAGGAGGAGCGAAGAGGAGGGGGGGTGATTTTCCGCCCTCCGAGGAGGAGGAGGAGGACGAGGACTGGCGCCCTGCGAGCCGGGCGCCGCGGGGGCGAGGCCGCGGCCGCGGCGGCCGCGGCGGCCACGGCCGCGGCGGCCGCGGCGGGGCGCCTAAGGCGCCCGCGCCGCGGGAGGAGGTCACCCCTGCGAAGCTGGCGGCGGCGCAGCGCGAGGCCGGGCGGGACGTCGCCATGAGGCAGCCCCAGTCGGCCACGTGCAGAGCCAGAGATCCAACGCATCGAGAAGATCAGGGCGGAGGTTTGTCACAGCTTTCGGCCTCCAGGGGCCCTCGCCAGGCCCCAGGACCATCAAGAAACGATTCCGGACGAAAAACCGGTCCTGGGGAGTCGGTCGAGACTTCTGGGGGCCCCGCATCGTAAAACTCACGACATCGGATCTTTGGGGATCGGCCACGCGCAGAGTGGCGCAGGGGGAAGGCTTATCAGAAGGAGGCTGCTTCTTAGGAGGCGCGGGCCCTGTCTGTAGACGTAAGGTCGGCGCCTCTCGATTGAGAAGCGGCCTCCCCTTCTAAGAAGCCTTCCCCCCGCCCCCTACCCCCCTCGCGCTCGCCGCCAACCTGAGACCTTGGCGTCGCCATTCTCCTTTCAAAGCGGCTCGGTAGAGGTTTCCAATGCCAGCTCAGACAAGGGCCACAGGAAAATCCCACAGGAGGGACGGGGAGCCCCAGACCCAGACAGTCTGGTCTGGCGGGCGTTTCGCCCGAGGCTTTCTGTCACGATGGATCCTGGAGGCGTACCCTCGCCTGAATGCCTGCAACATGTTTGGTCTGGGTGGTCACGATCTTGTTTGAACATAAGCACACACACACACACGCACGCATACGCATACGCACACGCACACACACACACACAGACACCCACACACAACACACACAACATACACAACACACACACAACACACACAACACACACAACGCACACAACACATAACACACAACACACACAACACGCAACACACAGCACACAACACAAAACGCATATCACAACACACAACATGTAACACCTAACACACAACACACAGCGCACAGCACATAACATACAACACACAACACGCAACACGCAACACACACACACAACACAACCCACAGCGCACAACACACAACACACAACACGCAACACACACACACACACAACGCACAACGCACAACACACACAACGCACAACACACAACGTACACACAACACACAACACAAAAAGGTGCACATGTCCGTGCTCTAGTCCCTGTCTTGGCCGCATCGCTTACTGCTAGTAGGGTGCTCTGCTGCAGTACTATTCACAACGGGCGATTCCGCATTGGATCTAGCCCTGGGACCGTCACAGATCTCGAGCCAGCTCGAAAAGTCAAGCGGAAAGACGGGGTCTGGGGCTCCAGTCGTGCTGTTTCGCGATGTTGCAGTTTATTCGCAGCGTCGGATCTCAGGGAAGCGGGTCTCGAGGGAAACGGGTCCTGAGGCTCCCCCAGCCGCTTGTCTGCAATGGTTCGACACATTGCACATTGAGTTCTTCCAACGCCCGGCGAGGGATGCCGGGGCCCCAGAGTCGGCGGCCCGTGCTGGCGCAGTAATTAGACAGCGTTTTGCGTGCAACTTTGTGAAGGTGCTCATGGCCTCCGGCCGCAAGGGTGCCATGTTTTACCGCTTCCGAGCTATTCGAACTGGTCCCCGGCCCCCAACTCTTCGGCCGGATAGCACCTCTTGCAATTGACCCAATTGAGGGAGGTGCCCAGGTGGTCCCGCAATTGAAGCCAATTGCGGGAGGTCCCCAGGGGCCGCCAGGACTATGGTTCTGGGAGCCGGGCGTGGTCTTACAAGGCCGGGTGGTCGACGTTTTGGTTTGCTCTTTTCCTGTTCGGCTGGGCCTTCGATGGCTCCTCTGGGGGACAGGAGGAGTGAGGAGGAGGGGGAGGAGTAAGAGATCGCCTCTCTGTGCGTAGGTCTGACGGGCCCGCGCCGTCCCTATGCGTTCCAGGACTTTTACAAGCTACTAGTAACGCGGTGCGTGTTTGCGCGCGCGCGCGTGTGTGTGTGTGTGTGTGTGAATGAATGTGAATGTGAATGTGAATGTGAATGTGAATGTGAATGTGAATGTGAATGTGAATGTGAATGTGAATGTGAATGTGAATGTGAATGTGAATGTGAATGTGAATGTGTGAGTGTGAGTGTGTGAGTGTGTGAGTGTGTGAGTGTGTGAGTGTGTGAGTGTGTGAGTGTGTGAGTGTGAATGTGTGTGTGTGTGTGTGTGTGGCAGTG